AGTGCTGGGATGGTAGGAGTGCTCCACCACGCCCATCTGGGTCTTCATTTTCTTCTTTTTTTGTCTTTTTGAGACAGGGTCTCGCTATGCAGTTTAGGCTGGCCTTGAGCTCACTTTGTAGCCCAGGCTGGCCTTGAACTCGCAAAAATCCTCCTGCCTCAGCCTCCCAAGTGCTGGGATTGCAGGCGTGCACCACCACGCCCGGCTGGGTCTTCATTTCTGAACCCCTCCCCATAATGTAAAACATTATTGAAACTGTTGTGTTTTTCTTTTCTTGCCTGTCTTCTGTTTGTTGTTTTTTGTTGTTTGTCTGTTTTCTCGGTACTGGGAATCAAACTCACGACCTTGCGCTTGCCAGGCAGGCGCTGTGCCGCTGAGCTAAATCCCCAGGCCTTGCCTGTCTGTTGTTGTAGGTTGTTGGCTGTGCCCCTTACAAAGGGTGAGGAAAGAAGGCCTATCTTCTTGCCTCTGCAGGACTAAATACGAAGTCCCCGCCAGGCCCTCCCTGGCTCTCCACCTGCTTTGACCTTTCCGTCCTTCGGTCACTGCACTCAGCATGTGGATCCAGTCCCGCCCAGCTGACCTTTCCACTCCCTTTTCCTCCCGGCAGCTGCTCGGGAACGCGCGTCATCTATGTCATTGCGCAAGTGTCACCTCCTTGAGAAGCCTTAATCTCACCACAGATTAAAAATAGCACCACGTACACCTTGGCCATCCATTCCCATACCTGACTTATTGTGTGCCTAGCACCCCATCACTGTTGGACACTTTTACATTTCATCAATTGCTTTGCCTATCATCTTCACTTGAATGTAAATGATAAGAGATTTGGGACTTCTACTGCCTGATTCCCACACCTTAGCTTGGCACAAGAAAGCCTTTATTTTTTTATGTGTTTGGTTTTTCTCTGGTACCGGGAATTGAACTCACGACCTTGCGCTTGCCAGGCAAGCGCTGTGCCGCTGAGCTAAATCACCAGCCCCAAGGAAGCCCTTAAGAAGGACTTGTTGAATGGGCTGGATATGGAGGCGCAGGCCTGTAATCCCAGAATACAGAGGCTGAGGCAGGAGAATCCTGTGTGTTCAAGGTCAGCCTGAATTGCATAGCTAGACTCTGTCTCAAAACAAAACAAGTGTTGGAGATACAGCTCAGGCCAAGACCCTCTGTTCAATCCCCAGTACCACACACAGAGTTGAGGAAAGAAGGTGGGCGTGCTCAGCACTTGCCTAGCATACATAAGGAGTGGGTTTGAGCCCCAGCACCACAAAAGAAAAAGGGGGGCGGGTTGTTGAGTGACTGAATGAATCCATAAGTGCTAAGGAGCAGCTCTCTGAGACACTTCCCAGCCTCAGACGCCTGCAAACCTTGCCTACAAGGGAAGCCAAGCCAAAAGCGTTGGGAGCAAAGAGGAGGGAGGAACAATTTTGACACAAACCCCCGCAGAACTAAAACCCACAGAGACTGCCAAAGCGCAGCAGAAGGGAAATGTGTATTTAGCCTTTGGAGAGCTAGAACTTTGTCTCTTGTGTCGATGACAAATGGCAGAGCAAGTGCAGCAGATGGTTCCGCGTGGCAGGGCGGGGCTGGCCGCCAGAGCTAGAAGCTCGCGGTGACATGCCGGTGACTGCCTGGGGCAGCCTGGGGCAGCCTGGGGCAGCGCGACTGCAGTGGGCACGCACAGCTCCCCTTCCCTCACCGCTGCTGTGCGGCTCTCCCCCGGGGTCCTCCTCCCGCACAGGCAGCGCTGTTTTCGATCGCCCGGAAATCGCCCTGAAATCGCCCGGAAATCGCCCGGAAATCACCCTGCACTCCAGCCTCGCAGGCCCGGTCTGTGGATTCACACCGGGAAGGCATGAAGTCGAGAACCGAAGGAGGACGCTGGGAAGGATTTCTTAGAAACAAGGGGGCGGGGACAGCAGCTCCTGGGCTTCCAGGAGTGGCCCGAGTAGGTGGCCACTGAGCCCTTTGTCGGGGTGATTTTTTTAAAAATTAATTTTATTGGTAGGCTTCAGATATACATAGGGATCTCATTCGCCATAGGGAATTTGTACCTGTACCGGGTATATCTTGCTTCTTTTTTTTTCCCATTCCCTTTCCCTCCCTTCAACCCCTCTCCCCCACTTTATTTACAAAAGCTGTGTTTCCATTTTTTCCTTCTATTCACTTTTCTTTTTTTTCCTTCCTCCTCCCCCACCTTGTTCCCCTTCCCATTTGAACCTTTTTTCCTACTTCCCAATATCTGTTATACACTTTGGTCCTTGTATACAATTCTGTTTCTCACAGCAGAGAAACAATGCAGTAAACCCATGTGTGTCCGATTTATTTCACTGAAGAGTATGGTCTTGAGTTGCATCCATTTACCTAGAAATGGCTCAAGCTTATTCTTCTTTATGGCTGAGTAGTACTCCATTGTATGAAAACCCCACATCTTCTTTATCCATTCATCAGTGGATGGGCGTTTGGTCTGTTTCCAAGATTTAGCTATGACAAACTGTGCCACTATAAACATGGGTGTGCGTTTATTGCTGTGGAATGATGCTTTTAATTCTTTCAGGAAGATACCAAGGAGGGGAATAGCTGAGTCAAATATCAAATAGAAGCTCAACTTTTAGTTTTTTCAGGAATCTCCACACTAATTTCCACAGTGGTTGCACCAGACTACACTCTCAGCAATAGTGGAGAAAGGTTTCTTTTTCCCCATAGCCCCACCAGCGTTTATTCTTGATTGACTGTTTGATGATAACCATTCTTTCTGGGGTGAGGTGGAATCTCAGTGTTGTTTTCATTGGCATCGCTCCAATGACCAGTGATGTTGAACATTTCTTATATATTTATTTGCTGCTTGTACTTCCTCCTCTGAGAAGTGCCTATTCATTTCAGATGCCCTTTTTTTTTTCTTGTTTTGTTTTTATTTTTGTTTTTGTCTTTTTGAGACAGGATCTCGCTATGTAGTTCAGGCTGGGCTTGAGCTCACTTTGTAGCCCAGGCTGGTCTCGAACTTGCAACGATCCTCCTGCCTCAGCCTCCCGAGTGCTGGGATTACAGGTGTGCTCCACCACGCCTGGCCAGATGCCCATTTTTGGATTGGGTTGTCTGAGGTAATTTATGCAACGAAGTCACGGCCTGGGTACAACGTGGATCAAATTACAATCAATCTATAGGATTATTGGGGGGTGGGGATATAGCTCAGTGGCATAAGTGCCTGCCTGGCAAGCGCGAGGTCATGAGATCGATCCTTGTTTGCGGGGTGGGGGGGGCGGGAATTTCTATAGGATTACAAATATAGTTGCTTTGCTGGGCATGGTGGTGCATGCCTGTAATCCCAGCACTCAGGAGCCTGAGGCAGGAGGATCGCTGCAAGTTTAAGCACAGCCTGGGCTACAAAGTGTCTTCAAGGTCAGCCTGAACTGCATAGTGAGACCCTGTCTCAAAGAGACAAAAACAAACAAAACCCAAATATAGTTGCTTAGCTAATATCAGCCCAAAAAGGAAACAAGTCACATAGCAAGGGCACATGGAAAGATCAGGGCACGCCTAGAAAGGAGGGGAGTGGTCCAGGTGTTCTGGTCACCACCTGTGCTGCGGGTGCCTTCTGGGCCCACAGGGCCAGGGGGTGCTGATTCCAGGCTAACCTCAGGCTGCTGTTTACCTCGAAGTCCTGGCCAGTGCACCTCCATCCTGACGCCTGGCTCTCTTGAGATGCACCTCCAGCCACAGTATTTTTTTGCTTTCTTTTTTTGTGGGTTTTTTCCGGTACCAGGAATCAAACTCATGATCTTGTGCTTGCCAGGCAGGTGCTGTGCCCCTGAGATAAATCCCCAGCCCAGCCACAGTATTTTTGTGCTGACTTTCTTGTGGGCCCAGCCCCTCTCTGGGTGTATATGAACTTCTACTTAACTTATCTGCCTCCAACAGCATCACTGTTTCCTTGTATGCGGAGCGTTCAGAGATATGACTCTGCCTTTGTGAGATTAGTCAGGGAGCTCCTCTGCGTGTCTTCGTCGTTCATCAGTGAATTCTGAGGACCTGGTAAGCAGTGTGTGTGTGTGTGTGTGTGTGTGTGTGTGTGTCCTACTTCACCCACTTACAGCGCAGGGGCCAGTCATGCTCCGTGTATTCTGGACTGAGACAGACAGATCACCAGCTCACAAGCTTCCTCCGTGACTCCAGACCCTCTCCTTGCGTTCTGCCTCAGGCTTCACCCTTCATGAAGGCGGAACACTGCCCCCTCCAGCAAGAGCTGCAAAATACAACCGGTCCTCTCCCCACTTTGGAAGGAGACGGCTCCCGAGGAAGGAAGGAAGGAAGTGACCCCAGGACATGTGTAAATATACTTGTACACATCCTCAGAAACACATCAATCAGATTGATCTTCAGCAAGGCATTAAGTGTTCTTATACAACCTTGGAGGAGGGGAGAATTGTTCCAGAATGGCATTCACCATCCACACTCGGAGAACAGAACCCAAGGCTTTCCTTCCATTCACCCAGATTTCTTTTTTTTCTTGTCTTTTTGAGACAAGGCCTAGCTATGCATTTCAGGCCAGCCTTGTGCTCACCTTGTAGCCCAGGCTGGCCTCGAACTCGCAACAATTCTCCTGCCTCAGCCTCCCTCCCCAGTGCTGGGATTATAGGCGTGTGCCACCACGCCTGGCCTCCTTCTCTCCTTCATCCTGATTCCTTGGAGACTTCCCTAGAGAGCTACACTCTGGCATAAGAATTGGGGGACAGGGAACTGGGAGAAAGCAGCTGCTGTGAGTCCGTCAGCATTCACCCTGTCCAACGCTTGTCTGTACTCTTCCGAGATCCGTTTCTTTACTTGTCGGTCTCTTCCTGATGGGCCTGGGGGGATCTCAAGGTCCGTGAATGTCATCCCTGGGACCACTGAGTCCTCTTCTAAAACTTCACATTTTTGGCCTGCGCGGTCAGTTTGAAACCAGCCTGGACTACATAGCAAGACCCCGTCTCAACAAGACACAAACAAATAAACAACAAGTAACCTTTAAGTTTTTATTGTGTTTATTCATTTTGTGGTCACGCAGATTGAATCCAGGGCTTCACGTATCTACTGTTACGGACTGCAGGAACAGAGCAGATGGAAGACCTGGCACCAGAGGCAGCTGGAGGCTAACTTTATCACGTTAATGGCTCTGGAGCGCCGAGGTCCAAATCACCAGCCGTAGGCTTTTACAGTCACTTATATAGGCTGCTAGAAGGAAGTACAAAAGATAACAGGATGTTCTATAATTGGTTACATACACTTGGTCATATGTTGTCAGGCAGTTTTACTTTGAGCAAGTTAATTAGGAGTCTTTTTTTTTTTTTTTGTGGGAGTAGGGGTTGTCTCTCTGTGGTCCCTGGGAGAAAACGGCCAGGGGATGTAGAAAATAAAAACAAGACACAATAGCCGGGGTCAGGTGGAGTTACCTCTTGCCTGATGAGCAAGAGGACTGGCTCCAGCAGTAGGGGCGTTTATTTTATACACTTGCAAAGTAGTATCCTGAGAGATAATGTTGCCTAGCACTAAGACTAAGACTGTAATTCTCCAAGCAGGATACTTTCTTCAGTACTGAGGTAGCTTGACTGCCTGAGGCACTCTGGCTCTGTCCCACCCTCAGACACATGACCAACAATTTAACTCCAGCGGCTCCCAACATTTTTTGAGACAGGGTCTCACTATGCAGTTCAGACCTGACTTGAGCTCACTCTGTAGCCAAGGCTGGCCTCGAACTCGCAATGATCCTCCTGCCTCAGCCTCCCCAGTGCTGGGATTACAGGTGTGTGCCACCACGCCTGGCCCGGGAGTCTCTCTTATCATGGTCTTAGACTGAGCCGGTCCATTTCTAGGTGATAAATCCTTGAAAGGAGCTAACTTAAATGACAGGCACTGTTCTGCTGAGTTATACTTATCTTACAAGTTGTAAGCGGCACTGGAATGCTAATTGAGTTTTTTATCCTCTCATTTTGAGGACAGGCTAAACTTGTTTGTCCCATTTTTTGAATGTAGTGTTAGAAATACAAGTTTTTTTGAAGTTTCCTTTACACTCCCACTGAGCTACACCCCCAGCTCTGTATCCATCTTGATAACTTGTCTTCTGGGTGGCTTTATTTTTCAGTGGAGAGGGGGTCATTTTTTTTTTTTTGAATTTTTAAAAATTTTCTTGGGCTGGGGATATAGCTTAGGGGCACAAGTGCCTGCCTGGCAAGTGCAAGGTCCTGAGATCAATTCCCAGTACAAAAATAAATAAATAAATAAAA